AATTGTTACCAATGAGCAGAGAGCGTTTGAAGCAGCAGGCGGCGAAAGAGTATTTTTTCTGAGTGCTCCGTCTTTTTTGTGCGGCAGCTCCGAGCGCTCAAGTTGAAAATCTTTCTTCTTTTCAGAAAGGCTCTGTTGATCGTGTCTTGTACCCACATAATCCTCGCTCCGTGTCTGATCGGGAAATAAACGATCTAAAATTTAAAACATGCAGTAAAAAGTAACAGAGCAGTGTCAGTCATACAGCGGGCGTTGTCAACAGACTGTTGTCATGGAGACAGGACGGACATGTAGCACAAACGGAGACATTTGTCCTCCTACTTTGTTTGGACACCGAGCGAGGGGGATGTGGGTAAAAGTCACGATCCGTATGAGACAAAAATGTGGGGTATCTTTTGAAAAGACCGCCGGTGACTTCCACGGCCTTTCTGAAAAGTTGAAAGATCTCAACTCAAATCGCTCGGTCGGAGCGGCTGCAAAAAAAAGGCAGAGGGCTCAGAAATTAAACCTCAAGGTGGACACGGCCTCAAAGGTTAATACCACTTCAGAAAAGTAACTTAAAGTTGTGTGTTAGTGGTTAACGGTGGCTAACTTTAGTTCAGTGTGTGAGTCCGTGTCCCCGCCATGACCCCCGATATACACACAAACAGTCAGACATGTTTCTAAACTAAGCCTGGGCTGCTCTGACGTCACTGCAGGAAGTTTACTTTGCTCTGTGGGGGGCTCCTGGGTCTGAGCTCTGTGGGGGGTTTGATCCCTGTGGAAACACGTTGGACTTTAGTTCACTCGTTTTGAGGGGAGAGCGGGTCGTCCACTGTGGCCTAAGATTAGAGAGAGTGAATGAAGGACGGGAGCAGGAAGTCTGACCGGACGGTTTTAAACCCCGTCATGTGATCTTCTGCTCTGAAGAGACATGTATTTAAGATCTCTCAAAGTGTGCTGGTGGGGATTAATGTCCTCTCTGTTCCACCCTGAGGTGCTGATCTGGACCTCACCTGAGATATATTTAACCTCAGGTGCTCAGACGTCCAGCGACTCATGATTGAATTAACCTATTAGCTTAACCCGACATTCCAGCACAGATTTGGCCCCCGAGGCTGATGAGGATTTGCACATTAGGTGCAGACTGAGGCCGCTGCTAAACAGCATGTGTTTAAATATAGAGAGCAGCCACAGTCGCTTACACGCAGTCAGAGAGCGAGGATTGTTTGAGTCAGTGCAACTAAAACTGGACCTTTAAAACCCATGTAAACATGTTCGCCCGACTGACATCGTACGAGGTTGAGTTTCTCAAAGTGGGACTAACACGTCTACATAATGTAGTTGGGGGTCGATTTACCGTCGCATGTTTACAATCTCAATTTGACCCCAAAGTGGACTCTGTGTTCTGAGCATGTTAGGTTAGCTTTAATGATGTCAGTCTTGAACACCTACTGTGTCACTTATTTATCTGATACTGGCGTCAATAAAATATTCAAATATTCAAATATTCAAATATGGACCATGAATAGATCTCCTTTAACTGTTTGTGTAAACATACTGGAAAACGTCTCAAACGGATTTTGAGGTCAGCACTTCTGAGGCCGTAAAGTTCAGCTATCTTAGCTGTCGCCATCTTGCTTTTCTGTAAAAATAATGAGTAATGAGATGAGCAAACACCAAGTTATCGTAGCTAAACCTTGCTTATTAATTCCTAGCTCCAATACACCACAAGTAAGCCAGTGTTTGACAAACAGTTAGCGAGCTAACAGTCCAGGAAGCTGACTCAGATTAGCTGCTTATCGTTGCTATTAGTCTGATATTTACATGAACAAATCTCTAAAGGGCTCCAACAGCACAAACACGGCCCAGAGGTTAAAGGTCAGAGACTGAATTAGCTGAGGGGACAGCTCGCAACTCCCATGTGACACTCAAAGAGGCCACGCCCACTAATTCTACATCACTTTATGCCTCAATATAATGTAAACAGGTGAGATTTGAGCTCATTAGAGACCCAAACTGTTTTTGTACCAGGCTGTAAACGTGTTTATTTCTGCTGTAAAGTTGGACATTTTAGCATGGGGCTCTATGAGGACTGATTCCATTGCATGAGACAGACTCTAGTGGACACTGGAGGAACTGCAGTTTTTTGTACTTTAGCTGTTGGCTTCATTTCTCAGGATGTGATACTTTTCTGTACATTAAACCCGAATCAGTGAACAGGCTCTCTTCCACTCCCTCCTCTCATCGTCTCTGCTTCCTTCAGTGTTTCCTTCAGTGTTTCCTTCTCTCCTTTAACCTTCTCGTACTCACAGACTCGACTCGCTCGCTCGTGGCTAACAGGCTGCAGCTTGTCATGTCTTTGCTGGATATAAATGATTTGCACCAGCTTACACTGCAGAGTCCAGGAGGTTCTTCCTGCTCAGGAGACCCTTCCGGACCGTCTCCAGGCGAGCCGTGAACTCACACGTGCGCCGTGTTTCCTCTCTGACAGGCCACCTGTGAGCGAGGCTTTGCAGCGATGGAGGAGTCCCATCAGAAGGTGATCGACGAGCTGCAGAGGAAACACCAGAGGGAGCTGGAGAACCTGCACGAGGAGAAGGAGAGGCTGCTGGCAGAGGAGACTGCAGCTACTATCGCTGGTACGTCACAGAAAACCACATAATGTATTTTTATTCTCACATAAAATCAAATCCAGATAAGGAGGACATGAGCAGAGACGTGTCAGGAGAGGTCAGAAAGCAGCAGGCAGGACAGGGTTAAGGAATCACCCAAATAAAACCACAAATATATAAACTGAGAGGAACTCAAACCAGTCAGCCTCTGTACATGGGGCGCTCACACTAACCACTAGGCAACAGACGCCCCTTTCCAATTCTTCTCAGGATTATGATCTCTTGATACTGTGGTCGTTTCCTCAGGACTGCAGCATCGTGTTGACTTTTTTTAATAACACAGGTTATGAAGTTTTTGCACAGACGTGTTGAAGCTGTTTTTTTGTCTCTTCAGCGATCGAGGCGATGAAAAACGCCCACCGCTCAGAGCTGGTGAAGGAGCTGGACAAAGCTCGCAAGGCCAACAGCAACAACGAAAATGCAGACATCGAGGAGATCCGCAGGCTGCACGAGTGAGTTTGAACTTTGACCTTTTTCTTCACATAAAGCGATTCTACTGTCTCAAAGGCGGGTCCACACAGCGGGTTCTCTGACAGGAAGTCCAGTTTGCTCGCTCTGCAGTGACGCTTGATGGCTTAATGTTCACAAACATCAACAGCAAGAAAACAGGTCTAACTAAGGGTTCAGTGTGTGCTCTTAAGACTCCAGATTAAAAACCTTCCCTCCGCACTCCAGAGGCCGTGATGAGTCCAGGTGATAATGTTTGATTTAATGAGACGGACGGAGCAGCTGTCTCTCTCTCTCTCTCTCTCTCGCTCTGACGACCTGCTGAGACGTGTTGAGTCCTTCACTCTCACCTGTCTGCTGCACAGTGAACCTGTGAACCTGCTGACATCAGAGCAGGTGAAGGCGGTAAATCAAGAAGCTTTTCATTAGACTGACAGAGAGACTCGTTCACTGAAGGATGACGAGCTGCTCCCAGAGATACTGACGGAGAACACGTGGCAGTTTTAGTCCGGGTGACGTCGTGATCTGTTCTCATCCAGCTGCGTTCTCTCTCTCTCTCTCTCTCGCTCATCGTTGCTGTTCTGTCTCATCGTTGTGTTGTTCTCTCTTTCTCATCGTTGATGTTCTCTCTGTCATCATTGTTGTTCTCTCTCATTGTTGTTGTTCTCTCTCATCGTTGTGTTGTTCTCTCTCGTTGTTGTTCTCTCTCATCGTTGTTGTTCTCTCTCTCTCGCTCATCGTTATTGTTCTCTCTCTCTCTCATCGTTGTGTTCTCTCTCATCGTTGTTGTTCTCTCTCTCTCATCGTTGTTGTTCTCTCTCATCGTTGTGTTCTCTCTCTCTCATCGTTATTGTTCTCTCTCTCTCATCGTTGTGTTCTCTCGCTCATCGTTATTGTTCTCTCTCTCTCTCATCGTTGTGTTCTCTCTCATCGTTGTTGTTCTCTCTCTCTCATCGTTGTTGTTCTCTCTCATCGTTGTGTTCTCTCTCTCTCATCGTTATTGTTCTCTCTCTCTCATCGTTGTTCTCTCTCTCTCATCGTTATTGTTCTCTCTCTCTCATCGTTGTGTTCTCTCTCTCATCGTTGTGTTGTTCTCTCTCATCGTTTTGTTGTTCTCTCTCATCGTTGTGTTGTTCTCTCTCTCTCATCGTTGTGTTGTTCTCTCATCGTGTTGTTCTCTCTCTCTCATCGTTGTGTTGTTCTCTCTCTCATCGTGTTGTTCTCTCTCTCATCGTGTTGTTCTCTCTCTCATCGTGTTGTTCTCTCTCTCATCGTGTTGTTCTCTCTCATCGTTGTTGTTCTCTATCATCGTGTTGTTCTCTCTCATCGTTGTTGTTCTCTCTCATCGTGTTGTTCTCTCTCTCTCATCGTTGTGTTCTCTCTCTCTCTCTCTCCTTGTTGTGTTCTCTCTCATCGTTGTGTTGTTCTCTTTCAGCATTGTGTTGTTCTCTCTCTCAGCATTGTGTTGTTCTCTCTCTCTCATCGTTGTGTTCTCTCTCATCGTTGTTGTTCTCTCTCTCTCATCGTTGTTGTTCTCTCTCATCGTTGTGTTCTCTCTCTCTCATCGTTATTGTTCTCTCTCTCTCATCGTTGTGTTCTCTCTCTCATCGTTGTGTTGTTCTCTCTCATCGTTTTGTTGTTCTCTCTCATCGTTGTGTTGTTCTCTCTCTCTCATCGTTGTGTTGTTCTCTCATCGTGTTGTTCTCTCTCTCTCATCGTTGTGTTGTTCTCTCTCTCATCGTGTTGTTCTCTCTCTCATCGTGTTGTTCTCTCTCTCTCATCGTGTTGTTCTCTCTCTCATCGTGTTGTTCTCTCTCATCGTTGTTGTTCTCTCTCATCGTGTTGTTCTCTCTCTCTCATCGTTGTGTTCTCTCTCTCTCTCTCTCCTTGTTGTGTTCTCTCTCATCGTTGTGTTGTTCTCTTTCAGCATTGTGTTGTTCTCTCTCTCAGCATTGTGTTGTTCTCTCTCTCTCATCGTTGTGTTGTGTTTTTGTGTTTCAGGGAGGAGTTGTGTTCGTTCCACCGGGAGATCGAGGTCTTGTCGGAGCAGTACTCACAGAAGTGTCTAGAAAACGCTCACCTGGCTCAGGCGCTGGAGGCCGAGCGTCAAGCCCTCAGACAGTGTCAGCGAGAGAACCAGGAGCTCAACGCACACAACCAGGTACACACACACACACACACATATACACGCACATTAATACACACACACACATTAATACACACACACACATTAATACACGCACACATGTTAATACACACACACGTTAATACACACGTGTTTATACACACAACACATCTGTGTTTGAATATTTACACTGGGATCCTGTTATTGTTCTAAACTTCTTGTGTTTTTAGGAGCTGAACAACCGTCTGGCTGCAGAGATCACAAAGATGCGTTCGATGACATCAGAGGATGGAGGCGGAGACTCGAACGCCACGATCCAGGGCAAAGAGCTGTACGAGTTAGAGGTCAGGCTCAGAGTCAAACCTTTGTATGATCTAAGTCATGAAGTAAAGACTGATGTTGTGAAGATTTAAACGCTCAGCAGAATGCATGAGGGATGGTCCTCCGGTCTCTGATGTGGTTTTCTTTATCGTGATGTCATTTCCTGAAAGGTTCCTCACACTGCCTCTCCCCAGAATCTGTACAACACAATAAGTGGAAATTGGCAGTTACTGAAAAATGCAAAAATCTGCAAGAATTTTTCCCTGAAAGATGAAAGTAGAAAGAATTGTTTCGTTTTTCTGTTTTCATGTGTGAAGATGTTTCATAGTTTTTATCTGCTGCAGAAACTTGTAAACTCTAGTTACCAAGGAGGTAACTAGAGAGGTGAAGGAGGTAAAGATCTCCTCGTCCTCTGCTTCCTCTCATCGTGTTCTCCTCTCCTCCTCCAGGTGATGCTGCGGGTGAAGGAGTCAGAGGTTCAGTACCTGAAGCAGGAAATCAACTCCCTGAAAGACGAGCTCCAGGCTGCCCAAAGAGTGCGTCTGTTTCTCCTCATGACATCATCACTTATGTCCCGTTTATATCGTCCAATCAGAAGTCGACTCTGTCCCATCTGACTAACGCTGTGTGTTCCCAGGACAAGAAGTACGCCACAGATAAATACAAGGACATCTACACGGAGCTGAGTATCGTCAAGGCCAAAGCGGAGCGGGACCTGGGCCGGCTCCGAGACCAGCTGCAGCTCGCTCACGAGGCGCTCGGGGAGCCGACGCTGGAGGAGGTGGAGCGAGGAGGATACGGTACGAAGCGACATATAGGTTCAGGTCATCAAACCTTCTCGGGTCTCTTTCACCTTTGAAGGCCGTTGGACTCGCTGATTGAGCGGTGAAGTTCTCATTGTTACATTTTTCGTTTGGTTCGGTTTGCTTTCACGCTGAACTTCATCGAGCGCACCAAGGGGGACCCGAGGTAAACAACAGGACAGTGTAAGAATGGTGTCCTGTAGCGCGGTGCAGTCAGTCAGTACTTTGATCTTTAAACTGGAGATGAAGTTTGATCTCTGCTGTCGGGTTCAGCTCAGGCAGGGAGGACTGAAGGCTGCCGGTGTTAGCAATGCTAACGTTAGCCACGCTCAGCAAACCTACAACCGAATCATAAATTAATAAAAAGCTGTTTACATTTGAAAGGTCTGCAGCTGGTTTTCACTCCGTCAGTCTTAAACTGCTGCACGGCGCCAAACAGACTAAATGATGACGTAATAAATGAAGATCTCCTTCAGTATCCACACTGATGTTTTTATTTATCCTGACGTCACTTCTTTGAGTGTTTTTAAATCTCTATGATGACCCGAGTTCTCCTCCCTGCCTTCATCTAACCTCCGACACGTTTTCCCTCTCAGACATCATGAAGTCCAAAAGTAACCCCGACATCCTGAAGATGGCGGCTGCAGCGGCCAAACGCTCAGAGAGAACCATGAGGTCAAAGGTGAGTCCTGATCCGTCTCCATCCTGCTGACATCATCACACTGTTCCGACCACACAGCAGACCTGTTTCAGCTCACTCATAATCACACACACACACAGAGGGGACTGACCGCCCCCTGCTGGTCTCCTGCAGAGTTGCATGTTGCATCATCAGCATTCCTGCACAGCTGTGTGTGTGTGTTTTTTCCTCCATCACAGCCGAGTGCCACACTGTGATCAAGTCTAACACACACACGTGTTGGTGTGTTTCTGTCCTCAGTCTGTGACTCGGGACATGCCCTGGGACGACCTCTAGGCCCCTCCCCCTCCTCCTTTAGGTAAACGCACTTCTGCAGGTTTAAGCTCCTCCTCCCGTCCTCCACCTTTGAAAGCACTCATCATTAATCTCCTTAGAGCTCCAGCTGACTGATGCATGAGGGTGAAGGATGAATGACGAGTGTGACTGGGTTTATAACATTTAATCAATAATAATTTTGTTTGTCATTTCATGTTCAGTTTGTAACTGTGGAGCCCCCAAAACAGGAAAGATAAATATTCAAAGATCAGAGGAGTAAAAATTTAACTACAGAAACATTACTTTAGACTAAAGACATCAAGCTGTTTTAAATTTTAATATATTCTTTTATCCCTGAACAAACATCAAAGAAGCAATCTGTAACTCTGACACCTAGTGTTTAAAATAGGTACTGCAGTAATTCATCAGGTCCAATCAGTAAGATGTGTAGTGAGTGAAATGATAAAGTGACCTTCCTATATGATCAGACATTAAGGAAACATGCTATGTTGAAGTGCTGGCTTCTCTGACAACAATGCAGCAGCCAGTATGTCCTCCTTCTAACTTTAGATTCTGCTCCTGAATGCTCTGGATTTGTTTGGACCAGAGAAGGTAGGCAGTTTTAAGGCACCCCCCACACTGCCGTTTTGGACGCCCCTCGGTTTGCCAGATGTGAGACCAGTTATCAGGTCAAACCAACAGGTGTTGCGGAGATGGAAGCGGGCAAGAGAACTGGTTCAGATTGAAGTGATTGTACCTAAAAAGCCTCTGCATGTTTCTAATAAGCTCCACGAGCAGAAACGTGCTCAAACTAGGATCAATATTGGAGATGCTTGGATGGAGAGAGATTAGAACACAGAAAGGTTTACAGACCGATGCAGAGCTGGATAAACACTGAAGCTTCAGTGTCCACCACATGGCAACCTGCGTGAGCATCGACTCTAGAGAGGAGTGGGAGAGGGGGGGAGACAGCTCTTTATGTTTTGAGTTGCATATCACTCCTATAAGAAGATTAGACTTGTGTTTAATATTACTACCTAATAAATCATAGCCATGCAGATAGGTCATGTACAGAGGCTGTAGTCCTCCAAGTGGACCGCCCGGGTTCAAGTCCGACCCGCAGAGTCTTTCTTGCTGTCACTCCCCCTCTCTCTTTTCTCTCTCCCTAATGTCCCACTGTATCCCCCGTCCTATCAAATAGCGACTCAGACTACATCTAAAAAAATGATTTATCAGAGAAAGAAACATGATGTGTGCGAGGCAGAGAGCTCGACTAGCAGGTAGCTAGCAGGGTTACAAACTCTACCTGGTGGACACAGATGGTACTGAATGAGACTGACCGCTGATGAACACAAATCATCACAGGACGACACTTTAAACCTTTTTCACCTCTGAGAGACTCAAACACAGGCTGAGAATGAAACAGCTCCTGATACTACAGAGTTTGCCGTAGTTACATTTCTCACTCGCCTTTTCTCTGCCTCTCCTTGGTTTCGGGGCTCCACAGCTCACAGGGTGTAATCAGCTGTTTGTGGTGAGAGGGGGCGGAGCATGTCATCACATGGTGAGGAGGACAGATGTTCAGACACAGGAACATCTGTGCAGAGAGGAGCGTGTGTTTGTCCCAGGTTGTTGATGTGTTTTCTCTCCCCGCAGAGTCTGAAGGAGGGGCTGACGGCCGAGCAGAGACTCCACCTGTTCGACAACAAAGACACCAAGGAGTTCTGACAGCGACGCTTCAAGTCCGCCTGCATGTTCAAGGCCACCTTATATTTTAGCTCTGTACTGACTCATTTAGAAACACTACACACTGGTCACAAACACATCGTATGTTACTGAGAAGATGAAGTTTGAATTTCTAGATGTTTGCATTCCATGCACTTCAGTTAACTGTGACGTTTTGTCTTACTGTAAATATTCTGATTTTAAACTCTGACTGTGTAAGCTACTGTTTTAACTCTAGACTGTTGCTAGCCAAAGGCAGGAATGTTACGATGACACTTCATACTGACCCTACAGGAGCCAGCGTGGCGTTCAGGCGTGCACGTTAGCGCTCCGATGCTCCGATAACCTGCAGCACAGGCGGCAGAGAGAAACGAGCTCGTCTGCATCGGGAACAAACAGCCGCCATGTTCCTCCATCGCCCGACTCCCACACTAACACCCGGAAGGTTCTCGGATCCATCTGAGACCGGCACGGACGCGTTCACTGATTCTAATTTAATTTTATATATAAGAAAGTTTATATCGAGTGTGTTTGTTTTCTCTCGCTGCAGTCGTGGGCGGAGCCAATGAGGAGGAGGGGTGGAGCTGTAGTCTGTTCAGTCCCTTTGTATTTATTGAAGCGGTTGGGATCTTTTCTTTCACATTCCCATTCCTCTGTACTCTATTATTGTAAATATAAAGCAAATATACACCAACTGACAACAAGTTTATTAGCAATAAATATTTTTGCACCCTTAGTTGTGTTTGTCACAGATTTATTTTGAGCTTCACAGAGGAAAAAACAAGAGTGACTCAAATATGAGGATCATGAGAGCGATACACACGGGATGAAAATACAAATCTGCTAAAATCACAGAGAGGAGGTGAAATATAATGACCTGACATATTAGAGGCTCTCTTGAGGTGATATTTAAACTGAAACACTTCTCACTCAACCACAGCAGCTAACGAACATTTACAAACGGCTGTAAAATCAAAGTTCATCAAGAGCTTTCTGATTGGTTAAAACCAAGCAGCAACCTCAGGTGTTGAAAACTGAAGCAGATGCTGAAGTGTAAAATCCTGCAGTTCCTCGAGTGTCCACTAGAGGCTGGCTGCAGAAGCACAGGAAGTCATACACACCCATTCTAAAAGCCTGTTTTTACAGCAGAGATGAACATGTTTACAGCCTGGTTCAAAAAAACAAACAGGTCTGATTAGCTCATGTCTCGATCAACACACACTGTACGGGGTGTGAATGTTTTCATGACTCATCCGTTTTGATTTGATGAAGGGTTCTCTCGATGAAGAGTTATTCACAATAAGGCGTGTAGCTGACATAATTGACAGGTGGTGCGGTGTAACAGTTTGTCAGGAGGTTTAAAACCCACCTCAGCTCCAGCTCTCAGCTTGTCGTTAAGTTGACTGAAAGTTAGGCTGAGACAGCATTTCCAGCATGGAGACTGCCATCGATTCTGGACTCCAGCGCCCCCTGCAGGAACAGACGGGTGACATCACTTAGGCTTCAAACATTGATACAGACTGTGCTCCATGATTCACAGAATCCAAAGATTGATGTCACAGATAAACTGGATGCAGGTATAAACATCTCTAATGGATCCGAGGATTCAGAGAAGCATGCAGCGAAGGAAAAACAAAACTAATCTTTGAGTTTAAAAAACAGGTACAACTTTAACTTCTTAACAAGATACTTTTTAACATGAACACAATCTGTCAAAAAAAGAAAATACTTTTATTTTAAAAAGTTTTTTATTTTGTGCGTAGAAGAAACCCGTCTTTTAAAGCGCATCTCAGTGGCCAACATTATGACTTTTAAATACAATTACTATTAAAATCAACATTTTATATAAATATATTTTAAGAATTCCTCTCTGTCAGAGGCGCTGCTTGGGGCCCCGAGGGCCGACAAACTTTAAATCCAAAGTAGCCCAAGAATGTGGAAAGTATTGACAGTAAGAAGCCTCCCTAAGGGGGCCCGTCTGAAGAGCACTCACACTTGTTGCCCTGCTATAAGGCGGCTTTGACTCAGTAGTAAAGTCGTCTCTCAACCAGAAGAACAAGGGTTCGATTCCCAGCTCCTGCAGCAACATGTCCGATGTTGATACTGATGGACTCTTTACCCAGCAGCCTCTACCATCAGTGTGTGAATGTGTAGGTTTGCCCTGCATTGTGAAACACTTGATATTTGATATTTTAATTTGCTTAATTAATTAATAACTGTCAGAAGGTTTTAATCTCTGAGGTCCTTTAATTGGACCGCAGCAGGTTCGACCACTTATCTCCCATGATGCCTTTCTGCTCCACAGCTGAGTGACAGCTGCTGCTCAGAGTGACCCGTCAAGTTACCCACAGTGGGATCACACACAACCGGAAGTGATGAACAGTAAACTTGTCCACCCGGTTTGTAATCTGACTGTTTGTAGTTTTCTCTTTGAGCTGCCTTCATGCTAACATCTAAACATTAATATCTGTATTCAGCAACGTCACCTACGTCATCACGTCGTCTGAATTACAACATCCACACGTGTGCTTATTCAACTTTTAATTTGAAAAAGGTCTCTTAAATGTTGAGTCATTATTAGACACTTAGAACTTAGAATACACAAACAACAAATTTAAACAGCAAATGTTTCATCCACAAACAAAACAGGGAGAACATCTGCAGCCAGATATGTCCGCCTCCAAGCCATTTAAAGTCCAATCAGAGCAGCTCGTTGAGTCTCAGCTCTTGTTGTGATTGGTTTCAGAGTACAGGGAGTTCAGTTCTGACGTTTGGAACAGGTGGTAAGAAAATGTCCTGAGACTGAAGATGATAAGTCCTCGTTCTCTTCTGACGGATGGAGGTCAAACAGTCTGAAGGAAGCAGACCAGAGAGAAATAATATCAAAACATATTATAACATACATGGCAGACCTGAGAGAGACGTGTAGAGAAAACAGGGTTCAAGTCTAGTTTGAGATCTCATTATTACTTTTTCACTTGTTTTTTTATTTTGATCTCAAAATGTCATGTTTAAATCTCATAATTTCAACGCTTTATTTTATAATTTTGATATCTATTTAACATTTTAGACTTTCTATCTCATAATATCAACCTTTTCATCTAATAGTTTGACTTTTTTATTTCATAACTTAAACCTCTTTATCTCATTTTTTTGACTTTGTGTAATTATCTTCACTTCTTTCTCGACAACATTTTTTTTTTCATTCTAAGAATTATAACTCGAAATGTGCTTTTTTCCCAAAAAAATCTTAATTTAATGTAACTAGTTGTCTTTTCTACATAATTTAACTTTGAAATAAAAGAAGGAAAAGGAAACGATGAAAGCGTAACCTGAATGTTTTATTGTGAAGGCTCAGCCGGATGTGAGAGATTACATCGCTGTGAAAGTGACGCTGTTGCCATCAGAGTAGTGTGTTCCGGGAAAGTGTGTAGATCTTTATTAAATGTTTGTGTCTCCTGTCTGTCTCTGTGGTGTTTTAGATTTTAACAGAGGTGACGGGCTGTTGGAGGAGATGCAGGCCGGGACACACTCACCTCTGGACGGTTAAACACGCCGCGGTCT